TTGCATCAGCCGTCAGAAGTTTTATATATTTCATTTAATATTGAACAAACGCTTATGCTTAGATATGATCAGTTTAAAAACGAATGAATGAACCAAACTAATGGTAAGCTTAAAACCAGCACACCATAGATCCTAGCAGCTTTGGTTGTTGAACTCGTAAACTTCCAGAAATTCAACATCAGTTATTGAAAATCGCGAACGAAAATTATTACCTTTCTGGCTTTCTCCGATCATTGAACAGCCAAACACGGCGCAATGGTCACCTCCACCCATATATATTTCGCAATACCGTCGAACTCGACAATACTGAATAAAATCTCCGCAATCTCCAGAAGTTCACATTACCACGAGCGAGCATGAAAGCCAATGCCGCCTTTTCGACCCATAGTCCTTTGCGAAATAAAATTATTCAATATGGCCTCCAATATCCGTAAAATGGGCTATGGCCTAATCTGAGTAGGCTACTCGAAGTCCTCACTCGTTGCTAGGTGACGTCACACTGGCAGCGATGAGTCGGTCACGAATCAAGACCGGAAAACAATAGAGTCAACCCCTCTCTCCTGCTTCCGGCTAACAATAGTCACGGTTTTACGCTTTTGTGGAAGCATCGATGTAAATGAGCAAATGCTTTTAAGCATTTACTAAAATAAATTAAATTCAACAAGTCGTGAGCTGTTAACTCAAGCGTTTGCTTTCCTAAGCACCAACGACAACAAAAAGCGAGCTCGACGTCAAGAGGCCGGATTTTCAGTGACTGTGACTTTCAGCCGTCAATCCAATTGAGGCAGGAGAGGATTTCCTTATCCTTGCTGCCTATCAGGCTGTTCCTTAGCACGTTGAAAGAGACTGATAAGCGCCGCTTCAAATGAACACCTCAGTCCAGTCACTTGACGAAATTTGCGAGGAGGCGAAAACGGCATTATTTTGCCTTGCCATCCTATATTTTCCACTTTCGAAGTCTGCTATTTAGACTCAGTGGGAAAGCAACAGGAGTTGAAAAATACTATGCTATGAGGACCAACAATGTTTTCTTAATTCCCTTTTTTCCTCAGGGCCATCTTAGAATTTTAACATATCGAAATTGACTTATCTGCTTGCATGCGTCTCCCATGCATGGAATATTCGTTATGCAAATTTTGGTCTATGGCTGCATAGGTTGCTTGATTTATTTCTTAATTTCTTCATTTGAGCGGCCGCTCCTTCTCTATTTTCTCTTGGTGTTTTCTATAGCTGTGAAGTCATGTGCTTGTGAGTGAGAGCTCAGCTCCCAGTGGGAATATACAACAACCTGCGCAACTGATATTCTGGAGCGAGGGCAGCTTGGGGCTTTGTTATAAAAAGCAAAACCGTGAGAAAGAGAAGCTTTAAACAGCAATCAGAAGTCAAGGCTTGAGGAGCAAATCCCCTGAAGAAAATTAGATTGAGAGGATCACAGAACTGGCTCCCACTAGATTTAGAGCGATCTACTGAAGGGACATTTTCCATTAATTTGGAATAATTTTTCAGGCTTATCAAACAAGAAATATTATATTTTGGATAACCATTATACCCTGGGGCATAAAATTCTTTTATTCGTGAAAAAAGAACTTAGACGTACTTGCTGTGAAACTGTTCGGTTCAAAAATGCGTCAGAGTGCAGCCATGAATAAATAAGCACGCGCCATTCGCCCGATGATCGGGGCCCTCACTTGGCCCCAGTAATCTAATATAAAACAGGAATTTCCTAATCCTATCGTTGTCAGCTATTTTTCTTTGGTACATTTATTTCAGATTGCTAGATAAACGTCAATGGCTGCAGAATATAATCGTCTAGAGTCAAAAGCCAAACAAAATCTCAAGAAAAACGCCAGCATCTTCTCCATTCTTTCATTCTGGTGGGTGGGAGAGCTCCTTGTCATCAGGAACAAGCGCCCTAATGATATTGATGATTTGTTTCCGTTACTCGACGAGGACAAAACTCGACCGTCAGCGGAAAACCTGCAGCAGAGATGGAGTGAGGTAACCACAACACGTGCATCTGGAAAAGGTGGAAATGGACTTCGGTTATTTGGCGCCCTCATTGCAATGTTCTCCTGGGCTGATTACATGTTCATTTTGAGTACAACTTTGTTAGATAGCGTTGGGAATATTCTTCAGATAGTTTTTTTGAGTTTGCTGTTACCAGAATTAATGAAGTCTTCCGATAAAGAGTTGTCATGGACACCGTATATCTACGCTAGCGGTATCTGGCTGAGTTCTTTAGTGCGATTTCTTGCCCGACACCAAACCTTTTATAACGCTTATTTGATGACCCTAAGATGGAAGTCTGCAACGATTGGGATCATATACAAAAAGGTAAAAGTAACGATTGATTGAATGATTGTTTGACTGACTGACTGACTGACTAATTGATTGATTGACTGATTGATTGATTGATTGATTGATTGATTGACTAGCTAGTTACTTTTAGATATGGTTCCCAGTTCTACCCCAGACAATACTGAGATGTTTTCGTAGAGATTGAAAATGCTTGTGAATGCGCTTGGACTGTACAGAAGAGCAAAATTGGCTTTCTCTGCAGACTCTTTTGATCCCTAAAGCCGGAATCTATACATAACCGTGAGAGGAATTAGCCCAGGAGTAAGGCCTAGATGGGAACCTTACACGAGGGTCTGTGGTGGGGGGGTTGGGGGGGGGGGTGCAAATGTCAGTTATCACTTCAAATTTTGACTATTTGTCAGTTTTCAGTTACAATTTTCGGCTATTTGTCAGGTGTCAGTTAAGTGGCTGTTAATGATTAACTGAAGACGTAAAACCTCTCCTGAGGCACTTTCTACTGTGCCAAGATTCCGAAAATCTCGAAACGGTGACAAATGGTATGGAAATTTCCTGGGAACGTTTGCAGAAAATGTTAAAAGTGAAACATTCAACCCAGCGAATATTTCGGGAAATGCGGGAGGAAAATTAACTCAGTGGATAGCTTAGTCTGATGGTTTGAGTCTAAAAAACAATCTAAACAGCGTGAATATTAAACTAAAAAGGTTCAAGCAATATTTCAATGCATTTCAAACGAATATCAAAAGCTAAAACCTTTGGTCTGTTGTTAGTAAATCTGACTACAAATGTCAGTTGTCAGTTTCCTTTTCGGGTATTTGTCAGTTGCCAGTCAGGGGCGTAGCTAGGGGGATGCTGGGGTGCCCGTTTGGGGATCCTATTTTGTAAGCCTTTTTTAAGCAAACAACCTACAACAGGTGGCGAAAGCGACATAAAAATCTGGTGAGTGCCCTCACTTTAACACAGTGTGACCCCCCCCCCCCTTGAAAAATCCTGGCTACGCCCCTGTCAGTTATTTTCTTTTTGTCATTTGTCAGTTGTCAGTTAACCCCATCCAGACCCTTGTTCCTCACTTACCCTTCATATTTTATATTCTCTTACAACGGCGAATAAATGGCTATCCACGGTGAATAATCGTAAGAAGACGAATTGGAATTATTAGACGTTTATCTTAGTTTTCCGTAAGACACTACATAGGGTAATGATCAGAACCTTCAAATTTACTTGTTGTTGTTGTTTTTTGTTTTGTTTTTTTCATTTCATTAATTTTACCTTTCTCGTAACGACATCTTCCCACTCCTTGGGAGCCGGAATATAAAGTGAAATCCTGTCGAATCACTATATCTTGTGTTAGGAATGTGACAGTCTGGAGACAGTTACCGATTTTACTAGATGTTCTCCCCAAAGAGAAAATCTCCGTACGAGATTAGAGGATTCTTAGATCTAGACTAGACAGCGATGAGGGACGCACCAAGTGTCCTCCAAACATTGGTTAGTATTTTACAATAAGTTTTTACATTTTCTAAGAGACCCAGCCATCCTCCTTTTTTCTTAGCTACCATTAACCATTTTCGGCCCCGTCCAGATTACGCTGGAGGAGCTTTCACTCTGAAAACGCGTCAAATGCTTTCCCTCCGCACAACGCCAGAGGAATTTAACAACGCAACAATTACTGGTCATTTTGCTTTTGTGTTTGAGTAAAACTCGGACATGGTTATCTTCATCGTTTTTGATCGAAAAGCTTCGTTTCCAAAATGTTTTTCGTCCACACCGGCTAACACGCGAAGACGGCGTTTTCAAGTTCCTCCGGTTTGAAGAGCGTTTTCAAATTTCTACGGCGCAGTGTGACAGGGCCTTAATTAACAGACCTCATGCTGGACCAATTTTCTTCCCGAAAGTTGTTAAGGAAATGTTTATTTAAAAATTGTACGTTGAACGTTTTATCAATTCTTTCATGTGGTAGGTTATTTGTCTAAACCAAGCGGATGTATCAAAGATTACAAGTGGATACATACTCAACCTTATCGCCAGTGATGTACAGCGTTTCGAGCATTCTTTTGTTTGTATTTTTATGTTAATTCAAGCCCTGCTTGAAACAAGCAGCGTTGCATTTCTTATGGTGTACTTGTTTGGATGGAGGCCTCTATTAGGAGTAGCTTTTATGATTCTCCTTTCGTTGTATTACGGTGGAATGGCTAAAGTGTGCGCCATTCCACGATATCCAATCTCTAAGGTGGCTGATGAACGTGTTGACATTATGAACTCCATCATCCCAGAGATTCGTACCGTCAAGATGTACGCGTGGGAGTGGCCGTTCATTGAAAGAGTGAAACGACTACGAAGGTACGAAACCTGCCATAATAAATCCTGTTTCTTTTTCCTTTGAACTCACGTTCAAGCCAAGGGAGCCTAACTCCCTCTAAGCCAAGGGAGCCCAACGGTTAGTACGTAGGCTCTGAATCAAGTGCCCCTGACTGAGCCCTGATTGGGTCATTGTGTCGTTTTTTTCTCCTCAAACTGACTCTCCCCACCTGGGTGTATAAATGGGTATTGAAGAATTGTTGGGGCAACTTGACGGAATGCTGGGGAGTCACCTGCCACGGAGTAGCATTCTACCGGAGAGACTAATACTGTTAATTACGTTTAGCACAATCCAGGAATTTGATGTCCGGAGCCGTGAGCCATGAGCCAGATGGGCTGAAAACGCTTTATATCTTCTATCTGAGGAAACAAACAATCTTAGAATAAGTATATCTAGACAGAATCGATTAGATTTGATACACTAAATGAGAATTCGAGCCCGACTTTTCATCAGTTGAGCGATATCAAGGCTAACTTGGGTTGTAGCGATTGAGTTAACTGTCGCCTATATAGAGGAGAAGGGCGAGTAGCCAGTATAAAAAACACTTTGTCCGAAACCTACAGTTTTTCACTATTAAACCCCTATTTAAATTGGAGGCGGTGGTACTGGCGCTGATCTTTAATTTCTTACAAAAGCAGCATTCAAGGTTTAGTGGTCAAACTTTGTGAATTCTTAAAACTTACATTATAAAGGATATTCTAAGGGATTATAACCTGAATGCTGAATTTCTACCAGAATTTTGAAATAATTGATTAAACTCTTCCTCACGGTATTGGGTATGATTGTTTTCTTTCAGGCTGGAATTGAAACTGGCTCGATGGAAAACAACGATATTGGCCTCCTTTCAATCTCTTCTTTACATCTCTTCGTCAATCGCGGCCTTTATGGCATTGGTCTCAATGACATCCTCGGGAATTGAACTCACTTCGTATAACACCTTCATGATTTTATCCTTGACAATTGTCCTAAAGAATTCGGCTTCATGGAAAATGTTCTTTTCTGCTAACATGCTTGCCGACTTTGCCTCAGCTCTGACCTGTATTCAGTACATACTTGAGTTCGAGCATTGCGACGTCCACAAATACCTACACGATAGCTTCGCCACAAATGGATGCGTGGATCTTGAAGAGAACAAGCACAAGGACGGAAATGTTACACTTTTCAGCAAAATAAACACTAACGGTGCCCAAGTCGAGGGAAATCCAAGTATTTTGTCGCAGAATGTTGTATGCAGCTGGTATGGAGACTGGAATAAGCTAACACTGAAAAACCTGTGTTTATCTGTCTGTAAGGGCGACTTAGTGTTTATAACAGGTTGCGTCGGTTGCGGCAAGTCATCTTTGCTGCAAGCTATCTTGCAGGAGATTCCACTCTTAAAGGGACACATATCATCCCGTGGCAAAATTTCTTGGGTTGGCCAGCAACCCTGGGTGTTTTCTGGTACGATACGTGAAAATATTTTGTTTGGTGAGCCGTTTGATCCTCAGAGGTATCACATGATATTACGAACCTGTGACCCGGATACAAACATTCAAAGGTTCCCGGATGCAGACACCACACTGGTTGGAGAACGTGGAATAGTTTTAAGTGGTGGTCAGCGTACTCGTGTCGGACTAGCATGCGCTCTGTATTCTGATGCAGACATTTATCTCTTAGATGATCCCTTAAGCGCCCTGGATACAAAAGTCGGATATCACATTTTCAAAACCTGTGTCATCGAGTTACTGTGTGATAAAACTCGGCTGATGACCACTCACAATTTAGAAATCCTCAGGGAAGCTGATAACATAGTAGCAATGAAGGACGGATCCATTTTACAGCAAGCTGGTTTTAACACACTCGTTAAGTCTGGTTTTGAACTCTGCCTTGGACAAATATAAGACTAATGGAAGAACCACGCCAACAGGAAGATCAACATCAGGACATGAAGAGTCTGTAATACCCTTCGACACAGAATACGCTAAACTAGAAAATGTCGAAGAAGATCGTGTTATTGGTTCTGTGTCCTGGATGTTGTACCTGGATTACATCGTGCTGGAATGCATTCTGCTGCAGCTGTGGCTCTTCTGGTGTTTTTCCTCGTCGTTCAAGGTAAACCTCTTTACTATTCTTGAGTGGCATATGCTAACAGCGGTGGGGTATTTGGGAGTAGAAAAGAGTAATACAATTACTCCTAGTCATTTTATGCTACAGAAACATGGGGCAAGAGTCCGTCGGCCTGATGGACTGCCAGGCCGCGAATGCAAGACGTATTGTGAATAAGTAAGGTTAACAAGCCTTCAAGTTTTATTTTCACCTTCTTTTTACTTTTCTATTCCCTTGTTTCTTTAAAAAAGGATTAGCGTATTCACAGAGTGGTGGCTACTTCATTTGACTAGTGGATTACATGACCAGAAGACTCAAACAGACAATCTCTACATATACGCTGCCCTGGTGGGTGGGGCGTTTTTGCTCTCTGTCACTAGAGCAACAATGTTTTATAACGCTTTATCAAACTCCTCTAAAAACCTGCACAATTCCATGATGTCGGCGTTGTTGAAAGCCCCGGTTTTGTTCTTCGACGCAAATCCAGTTGGACGAATAATAAACAGGTTTTCACGAGATATTGGCATCGTGGACGAGTTGCTGCCAGATGTATTCCTGCAAGCTGTTGAGATTGTTCTGCTTTGTATTGGGGCGGTCGTTCTGCCATCTATCCTGAACCCCTGGATTATTCTGCCGGCCGCCCCACTCATGGTTCTGTTTATGTGGTTTGGAGGGTATTACTTAAGGACGTCACGTGATCTGAGGCGACTGGAAGGATTAAATCGAAGCCCAGTGCTCTCTCACTTCAGTGACAGGTTGGAGAGACTGGTAACTATTCGCACGTATAAGAAGGAAAATGAGTTTCTGGAAGAATTGTACAGGTTTGGGTTCTAAAGTCATGTTAATAAAATAACTTCTCTCATTAATGTGAGTTTATCTATTGGGTTATATATTGATGAAATGAAAAAAAAAAAAAAAGAATGGAACGAAGTGTTAACATAAAGTGGTCGCTTTCTAAGACGTGCAACTAAGGCACCTGTATATTTCCAATACTGATAAAACAAAATTACATTTGCAATTAAACTTCCACTTTTTCTCTAAATTCCCGTTATGAACGTCTATGATTCTACGCGTAACTATCGGTAGAACAGTAGGGAGCTCGGCTTTTAATTTGTTCAATTATTTTGTGTATTCTTTTTAATCTATCTTAAGGTTTCAATACGGTCACAATCAGTGCTGGGTCTCGATTCTGTCCACAGTCAGATGGCTAGCAGGCCGTGTAGACATGATCTGCGTCGCCTTTATGACGTTAGTTCTTTTTCTCGCTATCTGCACACAATCAGGATCAGGTAAATCTGGCGATTTTCATGGTGAAATATTGTACTAATGGAAATCTTTTTCTCTCAAGCTAATCTTTTTTGTTTTTCTAAAGCACATGTTGTCGAAGGTCGTTGAAGCTACGTTGTTTACTGTTATCCTTGCTCGTGTACAATAAACCTCAGAGCCGGATTGTTCAAAGCCCGATTAAGCTAAGCCCGGATTACGCAGAATTTTGATTTCAGCTTAGCAACTTTTCGGTGAGGTTTTCTGTTTATATTGTTTTTCCCCCAGTTTTGAGCTTGAGTAATCTCAAACTACACGAAACATAAGCGGTCAAAAAAATTTTTGTGCAAGAAAAACTAGAACTTCGGTTAACTTTTAATCCTGGGTTAGCGTTAACCGGCATTCGAGCAGTCTGGCCCAGGAGTGTTGTGTTAACTTGCCTTGAGCCTCGTCCCGGTCCGTCTACAGGGGTAAGGTGGGGGAGGGGAGGATTCTTGCTGACGTCCTTTCAGAACATTAAAAAAACCACTCATTAGAGGCAGTAATGTAAGACTTACTCATATGAGGAACTTTTGTAACACTGCTGTTGACCGAGTGTTGAGTATTTATCA